GTTTTGTTTTATTGCTTCATTCTCGTGTTCCTCCCATTAGTTCTAATTGTTCTTTACATCATGACTAATGGGAAAACATGCTTAACATGAATGTATATGTAGAGCCTATATCAGATTGTATGCCGTCTCAGGGTAGGGGCAAAGAAATGGGAAGGGGAGAAAGTTTAAAACTTAAAATCTTATGGAAGTGAATGTTGAAAACTAAAAATAAATTTAAATTAAAAAAAAAAAGAATGCTCAAAATCACTAACAATTACTGAGATGCAACTCAAAGCATCCCTATTGTTTCACCTCACGTCCAGCTAATCAGAAAACATGAAGGGGGGGCTAGGTAGTGAAAAGTTAGAGCCAGATCTTGAGACAGGAAGACCAGAGTTCAAAACTAACCTCAGATACTTATGAACCTTTGTTTATTTATCAAATAGGACAATAACAGTAACTTACTCCTAAGGTTGTCGTGAGTAGCAAATGAAATATTTATGAAGTGCTTTGCAAAGCTTAAAGCACCAGATAATTGCGAGCTGTCATTATTACAGACAATGTTGGGGTGACTGTGGGAAAGACAAGCACTCCAATACACAGCTAGTGAAGCTGTGAAATCAGGACAACTACTACTGAAAGCAATTTGAATTATGTAAATGGAGTGATTAAAACATCATACTATTTGACAGAGATATCCCACTATTAGGCATATATGACAAAGAGGTCATTGGTAAGAAAATCCCCTTATAAGTCAAAATGTTTATAGCAGGACTTTTGGTGGTAGCAAAGAAGTGGAAACAAAAGAGATGCCCCTCGTTCGGGAATGGCTAAGCGAAACATACATGAACATAATGAAATAGTACTTCCCCTAAAGAAACAATAGAAAGAATGTAGTACACAGGAAAACTTACATGAACCAATGCGGAGTGAAGTTACAATCTGCAAAAAAAAATATACTCAGCTGCAACAATAAAAAATGGAAAGATCCACAAAACAATAAAAAGTCAATGTTACTATGGCTAACGCAAGAATTTGTTTTGGTTAATTATACAAATTTTTAATAGGTTTTGTTTTTCTTGCTTTCTTAGATGGAGGGGGGAAAAGTGAGAGAGAGAAAAGTCAGACCTGAAAATAAAACTGAATTTTAAAAAAAGTGAAAGCTACAAAATGACAAAGAACAAGCATGGCCCAAAGATATAAAAAGATACCACCACCCTATTCCTTTACAGTGGTGGGAAGTCTACAGGTGTAGAATACTACATGCATATTCAGACTCTGATGTATTGATCGGTTTTGCTTAATTTTTCTCTTTCTTTTTTTAATTAAAAAATGTTATTTTGTATATGGCATGGTTCTCTTAGAAGGGAAGAAGGATACTAGGAAAAATTTTGGCTATGTAAAAACAAAAGATATCAATAAAAATTTATTTTTAAAAGCCACATGAAAGAACGCTCCAAATCATTAACGAAAAATATAATTAAATACAATTAAAGCAATCGAAACAACACACATCCAGCAAATTGGCAAAGATATCATAAGATAGTCTTGGCAGAATTAATTATGGTATGGTATGAATTAGCAAAATCATTTTAGAAGCAATTTGGATTTATGCAAAAAAGGGGGCTAAAATGTTCATACTCTTTAACCCAGAAACCCATTGCTAGGTAAACATCCAAAGAAAATCAGTGATTTAAAAGAAAAAAAAAGGCCTCAAATACCCCAAAATATTTTTTCTGTATGATAAAGAACTAGAGAAAAAAATGGATACTCAACAAATGGGGAACAGCTAAACAAATGGTGGTTATCTGAATATAATGCATTACTGGAATGTAAAAAATGATAAATATGACAAATATAGAGAAAAATATGAACTGATAAAAAGTGAAAGAGTCAAAAAAATATATAGAATAAGTACAAAAATGCAAATGTAAAGAATGACCACAAATACACAAAATGTTGCAAAATTACAGAGCCAGAATGGCTTCAGAAACACCTTCCCCCACATCTTTGCACAAGTGTCGGTGTCTACTGTCAGATTTTTTTCAAAATATTGAGTTTTTTCTGATCCTTTTCTCTCGTTTCTCTTTTAAAAAGTCTGTTAATTGGATGGGTCTAGGTAGAGGAGGCCACAGAGGCAAATTTAGGCAACGTAAAATCAAAAGATATTAATAAAAGTATTTTTTAAAAACAGTTAAGCAAAGGAAGGGCAGATTAAGGGTATTCAGAATGCATGCCATTTTGGGGTGGGAAGAGGGACGAGATGGGGAGAAAATTTGGAACTCAAAATCGTGTGGAAGTGAATGTTGGAAACTAAAAATACATTAATTAAAATATTTTTAAAAATTAAAAAAACAGTTAAGCAAGCAACTCAAAGCGATTTCCATTATAACTTTGGTTTTCCTCTAAAGTCTGAGGCTTTGACTAATTAGATAACATTCTTTTATCTCTATTCTTCATGAGATACTTTCCTGCAGTGATTAATTCAAACTACTCTTCTCAAGTGATTTTGAAAAACAAGGTTATTAAGGGCATCTCTTAGGATACTTACTTTCTTAAAAGTTCTACCTTTTCTTAGAAAACTTTTAGATTTTGACAAATTGTGTTTGTTAATGGTAAATATTCTAATATTCTACGAGATTTTCCAGTTAAAAAAATCTCAAAGCAGAATGATAGCACTAACAATGAAAAATATACCAAATGCTCTCTATACTCATTGGATGAGCCCAATACATTTCCAAAGTTTAATTTTAAAGCTATTGCAATAATTATTCACAACCTAAGTTTAGTTACAACATCAGGGAAAGGGGTCTACTTGTAAGGAAGCAATATTTGTTCATCTTTAAGTATATCTTAAAAAACTGAAGAGACTGTAATGAAAACAACTACTAGCTTTCTGTCTGAGCCCAAAGCCTACAGCACAGCCTGGTATGTGAAATGACAGGTCTCAGACATGTACAGGAGGCTATCAATAAAATGCTCATGTCAGCTGATATGCTTCCCCATATAATACTGTAGCAAAGTTAACCTGTAAGTTCTAATATCAAAATACTTGCAATCATGATTGAACTTCAAAAAATGTTCTAGAGTTATTAAATTACTTACAGAAAGGAAAAAGGTCACTGCATCTGACCCCATGGAACAATCTCAATTTTCCAAGTTACTATTATTTTTTCTCATCAGAAAACATGCCTCTATGCGCTTAGGAAATTACTCTTCCTTTCTAACTGCTGTTTCACCCACTTCTAATTCTTCACTATCTGCTGTTCTTCCATATCCACTCTGTGCAATCATATGAGTGAAGGCTCCAAGCATCAGCCACGTGTGGACAGAGGCAACAGAATTAATTACAAGGCACTCTGGTTTTCATGCTTAACCATGAGAAATCAGAGTGATTTTATTTTAGTGCCATACTGTAGGAGATGTATTTACTGCATGCTACAAAGCAGCAGCATCTCACAGTGGATATTGTACTTGAAATCAAGAAGACCTGCCTTCGAATTCTTCTGTGATGCTGTCTACACCTTATGCTCCTCATATGCCACTCTTCATTTCTCATCTCCATACCTCCACACCTATTCTCCACACATGAATTTCACTGTCTCCTCACTTCTTTCAGAAATCCCTCAAGGCTCAGTTATCCCAACACTTTCTACATTAAGTATTTTCTAATTTCCCCAGCCACTGCTGCTGCTGCTGCTGCTGCTACTACTACTACTACTAACCACAACAACAAAACAACATACATATGTACATGTCAATCAGTAAGTGTCTATTAACCTCTTATGATGTTCCAGGTACTGTGCCAGCCACTGTCTTTCTCAATAGAACGTAGACTATTTCTTTTGGCTTTGTATTCAGAGGATCTTGTAGTGCCTGGCACATGGCAGAAACCTAAAAATCTTTGCTGACTGCTTAAATCTGTGTCATCAATTCCCTCTCCCATTCCTGGTCCTTAGTTTCCTGACATTCAAAATAAGCATAACAACACACATGTGTTGTTCATGCAGCTCAAATGAAACAATGTACACATATCACTTTGCAAATCAAAGAGCACTAAATAGATGTCGGCTGTCATTAGTATTATTAGTCACTAACAGGGTGCACCTTCTCATCTGTGATCCTTAAAAAGACTTAAACAATTTAAATTTCAAAAACTGATAATGACATTTTGAAACAGAAAGAGAACCACAAGAATACGTGATACATTCTTATCTTTCTTTTTTAAATGCTTTATACTTACTCCTTTGGAATCATCATCAAAAATATTTGTCTTGGTGGTAAAGAGACAAATGGATCAATGACAGAAGTTGTTTGGAGTATTTTGATAATATGAAGAATATGAGGCTTAGAGCTTCTATTTCTTCCTAGCATTAGCAGGCTCCAGACCTACCTTAGGTATAATTCTGGTTACAGGATGTTTTTTACACTCTCACAGAAATATTACATACACCCACTACCTTACCGATTTATCCCCACTTTACCCCCTTAGGATGCTCACCAACTCCAAAGTCAGTGTTCAAAGGTCAATACTCCCCAGCTTCAGCCTTAACTTAATCATAACCACTCTACCTATAAGAAACAAAAATATCTGCAATTTTTTTTCAGCGTCTTAGATTCTACAGTTTAAAGGCTTCACCACGTCAGGCTTGGCTTTTCAGCCCCTTGACGGTAAAAGCATCCTAGTAACAATGGACATCTCCTGAGGCAGGACTTAACAATTCTTCCTCTTCTTACAGAATACTTGGTAAGTTTCTAAATATTCTGTAGAATACCTACAGCATACCTTTACACATCACAATAAAAATTGATACTGGATGGAGAACTGTTCTATTTAGGAGTAGAAAACATTTGAAAATAATTTTGAACTCATTTCAAGTATAACATTTCATACTTGAAACTTGTATACCCAATGCCCAAGCCCAGTGCCTGGCACACGACACTTATTGATTTTTGTAAAAAACCTAATACCCACTAAAAGAAAAAACTATAACATTGTTTTTAGGACATATTTAAGTATGTAAATTAGGTAGAATACATTAGAAGATTTTATTCTCTGTGATATAAACACCAATGTGCACAGAGTTGACATAATCTTTTTACTTTACAAAGAAAAGGATGGATGGAAACATTTACAAATCCTTCAGTAGTTTTTAAAAAAGTCATAAATGAAATCAGCAATTGTATGTGTGTCCACTCATCACCTCTGAATACTCTATGAGCTAGTATTACCTAGGAATTAGAACCTGCCTAGGTACTGAAATTTACCTAGGTCAGTTTCTCATTCTTTAAAAATCCACAACAGTGATAGCTTAGACCACTGTGGCTTCTATAATTTAAGACAATTGGAGAAAAGCAAATGCTTGTTTCCTCATTAGGAAACAAGAATACTTTCTTGTCATCATCCAGTATCAAAAATATTTCACAGTTTGATTTACTTTTATCTAAAGGTAACATTAATCCCTCCTACACTTACATGAATTTTTTTGGTATTCAGTAGTTCCAAAAGCAAATATGTCTAAATTCAGTCTGAGTCTATGCCAGTGGAGTATCCATAGCTAGGAGCTAATCCAAAATATGTCAGCATACTGTCTGAAGTCCATATGTTAACAAAAAGTAAATTAATACAAAATGTTCGCCAACATCATTCTTAGAAAGTTTGCCACAGTCCTGCATAGACAGAGACCTGATTGGTTCGTGAGTATTTATCATATTCACTACGAAGAAGCAAACATCAATAGATGTCTTCAAGGTGTTTTCCAATTTTGGCTTTTAGCTTCCTAAAACGTAAAAGATCATCTCGTCCAATTTCAAGCATTTTTTCTTCCCACGATTTAATTTCATTTTCATAACGAATTTTATCATCTTCGGCAAGTTGCAGATATACCTGAGGAAGGAATATACAGTTGTTCAGTAACTTCTTAGAGCAAATCTCCTTTTTCTCTCCGAAACAGCTAAATCTATACTATCTTACAAATATAGGTGGAACTTAACCACCTCTAGGAGAGAGAGCAGATGATCGTGGAAAAAGGGAGAGGAAAGAAGAGGACCGACAAGGATACACATCTACATGTGAAAGAGTTAATCACAAAGCCACTAAAGGATGCACAGCCTATGAAACAATAATGACCCCCAGGCTACTGTCCCACATGTACAAAAAAGTCACAGCAGCACTTTTTTTGGCAGGGAGGAAACATGTCAGCACAAGAAAGCTGATGCTCAATCCTTTGAGGAATGTGGATAAACTGTGCTATATGAAGGTAACAGAATATTACAGTGCCATAAGAAATGAAAAGCATGAGGAATTCACAGAAACTTAAGAAGACTTGTATGAACTGATAAATAAGGAAGCAAGCAGAAACGGAAGGGCAATTTTGTATGATGACAAGAATACAAAGGACAACCCTCAAAGACATCAGACACCTGACTGAAGCAGTGATAACTATGACATTAGTGAAGCCCAGAGAAAAGGCAGTGAATTACAAAAATATGTTATCAGACATGGCTCATTTGTTTTGCTTAATTGTATTTTTTTTTTGTTAGAAGGGAGGGATTTGTGAAATGATGACCTTTATGTTCCAATAAAACCTTTCTAAAGAAGAAAATTCATTACCCCGGGGCAGAGACAGGGGAAACCTTGTGCAGCTTGTATATAAAGGTGAAATTTAAACTCAGTTAAGGAACAACTTCATAGTTTTGAGCAATGGGGAGAAAAAAACCTTGGGTTTGATGCCCCCCCCCCAAATCATTTTACAGGAATCTGTAAAAGAAAAGCAACACGCTCTTCTGTCTAGAGAGCCGGCCTCAAAGCCAGGAAGACCTCAGATCTTCCTAAGTCCCACCTCTGACACCTACTGGCTGCATGGCCCCAGTGCTCTGGGCAAATATCTACAAAGTATAAAAGGCAGAGGAAGTGCTGTCCTGCAGTGGTAGAGGGATTTTCCTCCCCTGGGAGTGCCCTATACCGATAAAATCATGAGTCCAGGCCCAGAACAAATACAAAAATCCTTTCAAAATATTTTAACTGTCTTGTTAGCAGCATCAAGTTCTCTGTACACCAAGCTTTGAATGAATATTCTACTTGAGCATTTGAGACTAAAAATTTTACCTGAAATTGTGATTCAGTGCAAAGATTTACAGGATATGGAATCTAGAAAACTTGGTTCAAATCCTACAAGCTCTGTGGCCCTGGTTAAGTCATTTAATTTCTTTAGGCCTCAATTTCCTCATGTGTAAATTGAGGGGACTGACTGAATAACCTCCAAGGTCTCTTCAAGCAATAAAAACTGCATTCTAGATCTAAATCTAGGATCCTATGATGGTACCTGCTTCCGAGATGATGACAGATGTTTCCACTCTTCATTTAAAATCTTCATCATTTGCTAAAAAATAACATATTTTTGTTTAGTTCCTTTTGGGGGAGGGGGAGGGAGATAGAAGAAACAAAAGAAAAATAACTCATTTTATGGTTTCTCTTGGAACTCAAGAAATCCAGATATTTTGTAAAAGCAACAGTTAACACCTGACCAATTTCTAACATCATTCTACTCTAAACTTAAAAATACTCTCAACTAAATATATGTGTGTAGCTATCAATTTGCAGAAAGGCGGCTCAAAATCAGGCACATATAATCACCCCAACTGCAAAAGCTACAGGATTTTTCATTTCTTCTCAGTTCTATGGCTCATTCTGAAACCTCTGCGTCAAAGTATCTACAGGTTCACAAATCTCTAAGGCTCACTCTTACTGGTCAATTGGCCCTGGAAAAGTCATTTCATCTAAGTCATAATTGCGTCACCTGTAAAATACTGATGGATCTAGTCAGAAGGCTTGGGTTCAAAACCTAGTGGGTCATTTATTTCCACTTCCTTTCCAAGAGCCTTCATTTCCTTGTCTGCAAAATAAGGGGGTTAAACTAGATGACCTCCAAGGTCTAAATCTATGATCATATCAACTAGATTATCTCTAATACAAGTTTCTAAGTAAAAGTTAAAAAAAAAGGTAAGGATTTCTGAAATGCTGACCAATTAGACCATATGGAATGGAGTGACAGGAAAATATGGTCAAAAAATGAAATCTTTACATGAAAATCCTGAATGCTTCTTACGTTCAAGACTTGGCACTGTCCTCAGCACCTGAGATGTAGCACAGATCTGTCTAGTGAATGACACCCTTAAACAAGGGCCTTTAATGACCTTCAGATTTAAGGTTCAAATGTAACTGATATGGCTCTACAGTAGAGCCTAGGGTGAGAAAATTCTGAATTTATCTTAGGGCCTATCACTTAGCTCATGACCCTAGATATATCACTTAAGAAAATGAGGCTTTAAAGATTATCTATAAAATGATGATGATAATACTTGATTATTGAGCTTGAGGATCAACAAGGTAATGCATGTAACACTATGTAATTATCAAATATTATTTTGCTTTACCTGTGCTGAAGTCCCTTTTGCTTCTTTAAAGTGTTCAGAAATAAAAATGTTATAACCTGAGCGAGGTTTTTTGGGCTTTCCAAAGATGGTTAATTCCTGAATTAAAAAAAAAAAAGTTAGAAATTTCTGGGAAAATAGGAAAATGGTCTGACAGAAATTAGATACAGACCAACATCTCATATTGCACACCAAGAAAACCTCCAAATGGGGACACAACTTAAGACATAAAGGATGGTATTAACAAGTTAGTGGAGCAAGGAAAAAATTACCTGTCAGACCTATGGAGAGGGGGGCAGTTCATGACCAAACAAAGGATAGTAAGAATCACAAAAGATATAATAAATGACTTTGATTATATAAAATCAAGTTTTTACACAAATAAAACCATTTTAGAATTAGAAACCACTAGAATTGTAGATAAATGGGGAAAAAATCTTCTAGGAAGCTTCTCTAACAAAAGGTCTCATTTCCATGATGTACAAGGAACTGATTCATATTTACAGTCATTCTCCAATTGAAACATTATCAAAAGATGAGAAAAGGCAGTTTTCAGAGGAAGAAACCAAATCTTAACAATAGTCACAAAAAAAAAAAATGAAGTCTTCATAGAAACCTAGGAAGACTTTGAGGAACTAATGTAGAGTGAAGTTAGCAGAACCAGCAGAATAATTAATACAAAAATATCACAAGGGCAAAAATTAATTCTGATCACTACAATGACCACTTATGATTTAAAGATGAATGATAAAACATGCTCCACACACCTTCTGAAAGGTAATTGACTCCAGGGAAAGATTAAGACACTTCTGTTTAGCATGGACAATGTAGGAGTTTCATTTTGCTTGACTATGCATATTTGTTGCAAAGATTTTTTCTTTTTATATCCATGAAAGAAAATAAGATTTTCATTCATTAAGAAAAATTAAATTAAATTTTAAAGGAGTTAGATGCAATTCCAGTATCAAGGTCTTTCCAATGATGCACTGACAAATGTTCTTTGACACGAATGTTCTATCCATGAACAAGTCTCCAAAATTATGATCAATTTCACCATGAAATATAATTGGATGAAGAAAATGTTTGCGTTACATATAAAACTTTTTAAAGGAGAGGCATGATATTAAAAAGAAAGTCAAACCAAGTAAGGCAGCTGAACTCAAAGTCACACTGTTTTTAAACGAGTTCATCAACTCACTTACCTAGTTTCTTCTTTGCTCGGTGCTTTAAAAGAAAAAAGTCAATCTGGGCATCATCAGGAACTATCTCATATTTTGGTGACAAAAATAAATAAGGTATCTGCAATTCTGAACACTCAGTAAAACTTAAAGTGCCACATAAAAATCAAGTATCACTGGCTACAAGAAGTGGGTATCAAGTTGTTGTCAACATAAACATACAACTCGCTTTGATAACAGGAGATAGAGACCAAAAAAAAATGGATCAGGTGCTAGTCATGAAAAAATGGATCAGGTACTAGTCATGGAGACAAGTGGAAGAATGATCCTGAGGCTGGTAGACGATGTTGGTGTCTTCCGTTTTAGAAGAGGACCAAAATGGCATCCCTAGGTCAGAGTCAAGTTTTAGTGCATCCGACTGGCTGATCAGACCAACACCAGCTCGGAATGCTCTACCACAGGTCGGGCACAAATAGTCCTTGGGAATCTTCGGGATTCTCTAAGTTTGAGTATCTTGCATCTCTCTCAAGCTATCTCAATTCTGCTTTGCTCATAAAGCACAGCCCTTTTTCTGATGTGGGCACGCCATGCCGAGCAGTCTTGTGCCAGTGTCTCCCACGTCACACGATCAATTCCAAAGTTCTTAAGAGAGACCTTGAGAGTGTCCTTGTTGCTTTTTCTGACCAGCATGTGAACGTTTGTGCTGTGTGAGTTCCCCATAAAAGTCTTTTCATTTTGCAGTCCGACAACACGGCCAGCCCATCAGAGCTGTGCTCTCTGCAGCAGAGCTTGAACGCTTGGCAGTTTAGCTCAAGGAAGGACCTCAGTGTCTGGTATCTCATCCTGCCAGGTGATCTTCAGAATCTTCCTAAGACAATTCAAATGGAAGCGATTCAGTTTCCTAGCATGGCACTGGTGTACTGTCCAGGTCTCACAGGCATACAACAATGAGGTCAGTACAACAGCTCTATAGACCTTCAGTTTGGTAATCAGTCTAATACGTCTTCTCTCCCATACCTTCCTCTGGAGCCTCTCAGACACTGAGCTAGCTCTGCCAATGCATGTGTCAACCTCTTTTATCAATGTGTACATCCCTGAAAAGTACACTACAAAGGTAAGTGAACTTATCCACAGTATTCAAAACTTCTCCATTTGCTGTAACCAATAGTTCCACGTAGGGATGGTGTGGTGGTGGCTGATGGAGCATCTGTGTTTTCTTATAGTCAATTGTTAGACCAAAATTAGCACAAGCAACAGAGAACTGATCCATACTTTGTTGCCTCTCAGCTTCAGAAGCTGCACTGAGTGCACAATCCTCTGCAAGCAGAAAACCACAGCACCAACACTACCTCCACTTTGGTTTCGGCTTATAGTCTTTTCAAGTTGAAAAATTTACCATCAGCGTGGTAGCTGACCTTGATGCCATATTCATCCTCATTGAAAGCATTTGACAACATCGCTGAAAATATCATGCTAAAAAGCATGGGAGCAAGCACACAGCCTTGTTTCACTCCACTGCTGACTGGGAAAGCACAAGAGCGTTGTCCAGTATCCAGAACCCCGGGCAAGCATGCCATCATGAAACCAACATACAAAGCTGATGAACTTCTCCAACCAAGTGTGCCACCTGAGGTCTTATTCATCACTGCTTATAGGGTCAAATGCAATGAGGCCACTGGCCAAAGGCTGATAAAGGTTGGCAATAAATGGTCCAGTGAACTAGATAGAGAGCTATGCCTAATTCGATTGTTCTCAGACCTAAGTAGACCAAATCAATGAGGCCCTACTCTAAATGGCAAATTAAGAAACATCGCCCCCCCCCACCCCCAATACACACAAGTAACTAAGACAGTATTGAAATTACCATGTGAAATTTGAAATATACAAAGCCAAAAACAAAATACAAATTGTGCACAGTGGAGCCATGGTTCAAATGCATTTTTTTTCTGTTCTTTATATAGAGAAATGTTCATGTTTTTCAAATTTATAATAAGGAAAACTTTTTAAAAAAACACTAACAGAAGTACAAACAGTTAGATATTTATGTCAAATTTGGTCCTTTGTCAGATGAGAAATCAGGTTCAAACTCACTCTTTTTTTCTTTATTAATTCCCTTCTAGCCTTTTTTCGACGGCTCTCTTCTCTTAAAATTTTTTTCTGATTAGGATCGAGCTGTGATCTGTATTTCAAGGCCTCTTCTTTGTATATTTTTAAAGCTGCGTTGGTAGCCTCTTTATATACCTAAACATACAAAAAGCACAAAAACCAAGAGTTATTATCACTAAGCTGTTGCAGCTAAGTACATTACACCAAACTTGGTAGGGAAAGCAAACCACAAAGCTTTAGACATAGGAAACTTTAGTTACTGGGGAGGCAGCTAAACATGCTGGCATCGTGTACAACTATTTTTCCAACTATAGGGAACTATTTAAAAGACATTTTTACTGAAAATTAAACTATACTTCAAGAATGCAAATACCACTCACTAATGAGATTCAATAGCTTCACTGAAACAGAATTTTTATAAGCACAAAAAATCTTAAAGTCGTCTTTTCATACTGAATAAGGCATACATAGACTATACATAATTGTTTTAAGAGTTGGGGGGGGGGGGTTTCCTCTAAGAGAGAAAGGTAAAGAGAGAAAACGAATTTTTGGTCACTGAAAAAAATTAAAATTTTTTAAAAAGCAGGGTACATTCTTTCCTAAAACCCATTATAGCTGCCTCAATGCATACACTTGCTTTACCATCTCTATTCTATCTACATAAGGACTTAATGGTCCTGAGTGCTCATATTTCTATAGAATAGTTAAAGAACACAAGACATTTTCCTTAATCTACCTTGTAAGGCAGACTGTACAAAAGTGAGCACTCTCTCATTCCAATAAAGGCTGAGGAGGGTAACATGACTAACACAGACTGAGAGCTAACAAATATTGGTGCATGGACCTAAGCTTTTCAGACTGGAGGTAAGTATTCTTTCCGAGTATGCTACAGAGTGAGTAAAAAATATAGGTTATAAGATTGAGTTTTTTCATTATCCATGAACACTGGCTTAACGACCTCTAAAATTCATGGCACTAGCAATAGCCCAGGATGGTGGCAAGGAACTACACTCACTTTCTTCTGTGATTCTGGAAGCTCCCTCCAAGCTTCAGCAAGCTTCTTAATTATCTCTGTGTTTTTCAAATCTGAAGATAAGAATGAAATTAAAGAACATTTCAATTTTACTTTCCTCATGACTAAAGATTTCTAAAAAAGTCTAATTCACTGGTATCTTCTCCTAATTTATATTACAAAATCCTTATGCCAATAACCTAAGCACTATCTGAACTTGAGTCAAATGATCCAAAACAAAGATCTCCTAAACAGCTTCAAAGTCCTCTCTAATCTTTACTGACTTTTAGTTGACAGTTACCACACACAAATTAATTCCTAGGACAAGCTAAATTGACATGACATCCGTGATGAACCTCAGAAGAGCAGATCTTGCTGGGCTCCAAATCATTTGAAGTTTTATATTGAGCACCTTGAAAAAAAATAACCCAATGGTCTCATTTTAGATACTACTACTTTGTATTTCTTCATGAAAATATCTGAAACATACTGCATTATCCTCAAATTCATCCACTACTCTCATGTTTCTTTCCTCAACTGCAAGAGCGAGATGCAGGTTTTTAAAAAGGATATTTTCCCCCCACCCCGGCCACAATAAAGTTAGGGGAATATGACCTAGTTTAAAAGAACATGCTACTTGCTACTCCTTTCTTAGCACACATTGCCATGATTTTGTCATCTTTACGGTTGAAGAAGAGAAATGAGATCAAACGGATGAGTGTCCTCAGTCTTTCAGAACTTCAGTGATCTCTAACAGTCTTAAAAATAGGTTACTGCTTCCTTAAAATGCTGTCAGACTAGCAGGCAAACGCCCTGGTGTATCTTGTTTTGGGGGAGCATGCGATCCTACTCACTTGCTCTTACCACCACCTGGTGCTTCCAACCTCAACGCTGCAACACCTCAAACACCTGTTATTTCATCCATATAGGTGCCCCCCACAACATACATAGACTACAACCCAGGGCACCTAGCATGGCACATGGAGCACAGCAGGCACTTAATAAAAGCTTCCAGATTGATTGATACCGTCCTTGAGAAACACGATGACCATAAACTTCGTCACCCTGTGATAAAGTCCCTCTGAACTTGGCCACCATGGTCCTTGGACAACAAACACACCACAATTCCGTTCTGGACCCAAACTTGAAGCACTTATACTCCACTGGCATAGTCTTTAAATGTCCAAGGTCACCGATGGCACAAGAAAGCTTCAGAAGAGACTTCACCAGAGCCACAAAAGCTTCACATAAAACCTTATAAATGGAAGGAACGGCCACTCTCTGTGGATCCTCTCCCTTCACTATGCCAATCTTTCGGCTGTTCCTTTTGAGTTAAGGGTCACTATTTCAAATGACTGCAGCGCCATAAAACTGGCAGGAACCAAGATATCAAACGGAACCACGGCTGGCTTCTAGCCCGGAGGTCACCTGGCATCTTCTTGAAGATGTAGCCCGACAACTCACCTAATTACTCCTCAAGGAGCCTCTTTTCAGAACCTTGTGAAAAGCATTTATTTTCGAAGTTATATAGCTTCTAAAAAACTCAAAGCCTTTCACTTACTCTCTGGGTATCATCACAGCACCCTGCCTTGATAGAGAGGGGCATGGATTCAACAGCTTGTCTCCTTGTTACAAATGAGGAAACATAAAAAGGTCAAGTGACACAACCGTCAATGGCAGCTCCAGATCAGCAATAAAAGTTTCACGCTTTCTTTTCTGTGCTATTTCCATGAGGCGCCATGGAGAAGCAGACTTCCATCAGAAGTAACTTACCTGGATTTTGTTCTTTGAGTATGGGTCGATGTTCCATTGAAAAACGAATGTATGAAGACCAAGGTTTCTTTGGAGCATTAGATAAAGTACAGTCTTTCATAAACCACTCCAATCCACAGACAGAACTGCTGTAAATAAAAGTTGCGTTTAGATGCAGGTGTTTGTTAATGATCTCTTAGAATAAACACGTGTCCACACTTAAACAGCACTAGCCTTAAGGTGCTTAATCACACAAGTCTCTGAGGTAGGTAGTGCAAAGATCGCTACTGGTGTTCTACTGATCAAAAAGCTGACTAAGATTTACAATATGCTCATCACTGGGGATCCTTAGACAGAAAATGAAGCTGTCCTGGCCCTCGAGATGCTTACATTAGTACGGCTGTGTACACAGATATCTATGTGCATACGATGTGGAGATACTAAGAAGTCTGTAAACGTCACACGGAAGGGGGTGGGGGGGTGGACAAGCGCCCCCTCCCTTCTCTGGGTGTCATTCTCCTCCCCGGTCGGATGAGGATGCGCCCCCAGCTCTGGGTCGGGGCGCCTCACCTTGGGGTCTGCAAACGTTTTGGGGCGTTTTTGGCATTTTGGAAACTATATTTGTTACCGTCCTAGCGTTTCCTCCAGGATCCGTTTTGGGGGGCGCCTCGGACCCCCGGAGGCCGGGGCTCCCACGAGGGATCGGCGCGACTCGAAGGGCCCCGCGGCTGCTCCAACCTCCGCATCGGATCCACGCGGGCGCCCCACGGCGGGCACTTTAAACTCCTCCGTGTCCCCGACACCCGGCCCCGCGCCCCGCACACAGCAGGCGCTCGATAAAGGCTCGCAGAACCGAGGAGAACGGAAGGAGCGGAGCCCAGGGGGAAGGGCCCGGCCCCGGTTTCCCGGGCAGAAGCAGGATTCAAACCCCGAGCCCCGTCCTCGCACGGAGGGAGCCGGCCCGCCCCCACCTCCACGGCGCCCCGCGATGGAAACGCTCAGCCGCTTTACAAATGGGGAAACTGAGGCCGAGAGCAGGCGGCCGCGGGTCCAAGCCCCAAAAAGCCTCGGAGGCCGCACCCGGGGGTCGGTCCCGTCCGGCGCCGTGCTCGGACCTTCCTCCCTCCCGCACGGAGCAAGCGGGCCGGCCCGGCCGAGGCCCGCATGGAGTGGGCGCCTGCTGCATGCGGCGCCCCCGGGCCCCGGAGGCCTGTCTCTCACCTCGGCGGGGGCGGCTCCAGCAGCCCTCGGTCGGCTGCGGCGGCGGGGGCCCGGAGGGCGGCGGGCCGGCCCAGGACCCTCAGCGCCCCCCAGCTTCCCCGCAGCAGCGCCATGCCTCGGCCCGGTCCCGTCCTCCCTCAGCCCGCAGAGGCGGCGGCGGTGGCGGCGAGTCCCGAGCGGGTTTGTGTCCGCGCGTGAGGAGCCTCCGGTCCCCGCCACACGCGGGGCATTGTGGGAGGGAGGAAAGGACCACTTCCGGTAGGGGAGCCGCGCGGCCACAGACGCGGCGAGGGCGCATGCGCCACCCCGGAAGAGAAGGCCGGCGAGGCTCCCGGAGGGGGTGGGGGCACGGACCTTCCAGCCGCGCCTGCGCACTTGAGAGTCCTCGGGCAAGCGGCACGTGTGTAAGGCTGCCTGCCCTTCTCCGGGCGTACTCGGAGAGCAAACGCGGGCTCTGTTCCCCAGGAGTGAGGAGGAGCCGGGCTGCAATCTTGGTCCATCTATCTCCTAGAAGCTTTGTGGCCTTGGGAAGTGACTCAACCTCTCAGCCTCGGTTTACTCATCAGTGAAACAGGAGATTTAACGCATCCTAGTGCAGCGTGTACTGCTGAGTGTGGCTCCTGGCTGTTCCACGAACAAGAGCATCCCTCTCCCGACTCCGAGCTTTTTCCCTAGCCGTTTCCCTCGCCTGGAATGCCCTCCCTCCTCATCTCAGCCGCCGGGCTTCAGGCTTCCCTCATATCTCAGCCAAAGCCCTACCTGCTGCAGGAATCTTATTCCATCGTGTCCGACTCTTTGTGACCCCATTTGAGGTGGTCTTGTCAAAAACACTGGAATGGTTTGCCATTGCCAGCTCGTTTTTACAGATGAGGAACTGAGGCAGACAGGGTGCAGTGACTTGCCTAGGGTCACACAGCTCGTAACTGAGGACGGATTTGAACCCAGGAAGAGGAGTCTTCCAGCCTCCAGGCTTAGTGCTCTGTCCACTGCACCGCCTATGCACTGCCCCAATTTATCGGGTACCCTTTCTCATGTCACCAGACTTTGAGTATGCTCGAATTGCCTGGCAGGGAGCCTGCTCTGTCCCCTACCACCAGGGCTGACTCTTTCTGCCATCTTCAGCAATGCTTCTAGCCCTCAGCTTAGATGCCATGCACTGAGCCCTTCCCTCCCTCCCCTCTTTTCCTGGGGTGTTTGCTTCTGCTTTGTGTGATTTGTCCTGAGTTTCTGGTGCCAGTGGGGATCTGCATTGGATGGGGAGCCAGGAGCCAGGATCACAGGTGGGCTGGTGCAGCAGCCTACCATCTGAGAAGCTGGGGGGCCTCCAACCGGAGCCCCAGGGGTCTTGGGCTTGGGCCTAGGAGTGTGCTCTTTGGAAATGGAGTCGATGAACCTAATCCCCTTCTCTTCTCAGAGATGGAGGGGCTGCAGCAGAGAGGGGGCTTAAGCCTCCCATGTGTTGGGGTGCACATATATTTGTAATTTGTGACCTTTGGAAGGAAATATTCCTTTGTAAAATCTCCACTGTGTTGCATTTGTATGTAGTTGTCTTCCCCATTAGACTCTGAGGTCCTTCAAAGCAGGAACTGCTCTGGGCCTGTCTTTATGTCCCCAGCACTTAGCACTTTGCCTGGTTCACAGAAGGGACTTGATAAATATTTATTGACTAGAGTGCTGAGATACTTTCCTTCACCAACCTTATTTTAATCTTGCTTTCCCTTAACCTTTTTTTTAGTTAACAAGCTTTTATTTTCTCTCTTCTCCCCCTTATCCAATGCAAAAGAAAAAAACAAACCTTTGTAACAAATATATGCGTATTTTACTCAAGCAAAACAAATCCCAGCTTTGGTTATGTCCAAAATCGTGTGTCTTATTCTGCATCCTGAGACTATCACCTGTTTCTCAGGAGGTGGGGAGCAGCCTTTCTCATCTTTGAAAGTTCATTCCAAGGGGCAACTAGGTGGCGCAGTGGATAGAGCACTGGCCCTGAAGTCAGGAGGACCCGAGTTCAAATGTGGCCTCAGACACTTGGCACTTACTAGCTGTGTGACCCTGGGCAAGTCAATTAACCCCAATTGCCTCATCAAAAAGCAAAAAAAAAAAAAAGTTCATTCCAGTCTGCCCAGGGCCTTGAGGCTATCATCTGTAACCCTCCAGGTCACTCTCCCCACTAAATTCGGTACCTGGCTCATTCTTTTCTACCACCAGTTGCAGCACCTTTCAAACACCCTGGCCACTCTGTCTCCTGTGATTTCTTTCCAGTCCGCCCCAGCTACACTCTGACTTTCTCCTAATTGATGCTCTTCTCCTTAGCTCAAATAAATCTGCCTCAAGTGCCAGGATTCCTAGTTACAGCTATGAAGGCAAGAGATAGAAATATCATCTTCATTTGACAAAGAATGAAATTGAGGTTCAAACTATTAAGTCACTTGTCCAAGTTTTCATAGCTAGGAAGTAACCAAGGTGGGAATTGAAGCCAGGTTTCCCTAAAAGTGGGGAGCTAGGTGGTACAATGGTTAGAGTATCTAGCCTGGAGTTGGGAAGACTCATCTTCCTAAGCTCAGATTTGGCCTCAGACAAATGTCACACTAGTTGTGTGACCCTGGGTAAGTCACTTCACCTTGTTTGCCTCATTTACCTCATCTGTAAAATGAAATGGAGAAGGAAATGGCAAACCTCTCCAGTGTCTCTGCCAAGAAAATCCCAAATGGGGTCACAGAGAGTCAGGACTGAAAAATGACTCAAAGACAACCCCGCTAAAGTCCAAGATGAGGCCAGAAAGATAAATAGAACCAATTATAGAAGGATGGCCTTGATTGCCAACCTCCAAAGAACTATTTTCAGGAAAAGAATCTGATAATGGTATGGAAGAAGTATGAGGAGAGCTTGAAGGCTGGGAGATTAGGTAAGAGGTTGGACATAGTGTCACAATGGTGCAGTAGGATTAGGAAGCAAAAGAGACAGAGGAGGCTGTGTGGAAGAATCTATAGGATTCTGGGATGGAAGGACTTCAGAGGTCATCAAATACACTCCCTTCATTTTACGTATAGGGAAGCTAAGGCACAAGGAAGTTAAATACCCAGGGTCACCCAGCTGGTGAGTGGCTTCGATGAAAGACTTCCTCATTCCAAGCCCAGTGCTCTACCAGCTCAAAACCCAAGACTACCTCCCAGGATCTGGAGATTGATTAACAAAGAGGAAGGAGAACCTGGGGAATCAATGACTGATCAGAGCTTCTAAGCTTGGATGATAAAGAGAATGGGTCTAGGGTTAACTAAAAAGGGGAAGTCAGGAGCAGGGGCTACTGGGGGTAGGAGAGGTGAAACAAGCCACCGAGGAAAGGAAGTCGGGCATGCTTCGCTAACATTCCAACTTCCAGCTTCCCAATAAGGTGGTGATGAACAAGGGGAAGGAGAAAGGTATATGAGAAGGTGATTTTGGAAGAGATTAGAATGGTAACTAAGGGCCAGAGAGTGAATATGCAGAGAAAATATTCAAAAGACCTTGGGAAGCAATCCAAGGAAAGGGGCTAGAGCTGGGGTGGGGAGCCTGCAGCCCTGTAGCCACATGTGGCCTTCTAGGTCCTCAAGTTCAGCCCTTGGACTGAATCCAAACTTCACAGAACAAATCCCCTTCATAAAAGGATTTGTTCTGTAAAACTTGCACTTGGTCAAAACACAGCACTCGAGCACCTAGAGGACCACCGCCCTGGGCTGGAGAGAAAGAAGGAAAATGATTTGATCTGAAGACAAAGGATTACAGAAGAGGACTCCAGAGTATGCAGGGGAGTATAGAGAGGCCAAATAGATGAAATGGGCACCTCATTCCTTTGGCATGGGATGCCCCAGAAACAATGGGCTTCCCATCATCTTATGTCTTCCGTGCAAAGTTTGGAGAACTACTTTTCCAATCTGTTCTGGTGGAGACTCTTTTCTGTATTGATGGGACAAGAGGGCCACTGGTGAGAATGGTTAGCCCAGAGAAGAGAACACTGAGGGGCAGAGGAGGAAAAAGGCATGATAGTGCTCCAAGTAGGGGAAGGGCTGTCACATGAAAGAAGATTAGACTCCTTCTTTATGCCCTGAGGGGGATAGGACTAGGAACAATGGGAGGGAGGAGGCAAATTTTGGCTTGATCTAAGGATCACCCATAACTGATTTTTGTTTGACAATTAAAGCCCTTCCCAATCTGGTTGTGGCCTGTGTTACATATTACCCCTCCTAGTATCCTCTAAGGTCCGTCCAAACTGACCCTTGGGCTCTCCCCTGTAGACAGCATTCCCCCTCTGTGTCTCTGCACAATGTGTCTCTCATGACTGGAGTGTGTTCCCTTCTCACCTCTGAACACCCCTGTCTGCTTTTGTGGTTCAGCTAAGGTGTCACCTCCTTCAAGAGACACTCCTGGATCCCCCCCAATTGTTTATGTTTCCTCTCCCTCCTCAAAAAAAAAAAAAGATTGTGTCCCTATGATATATATCTCCCATATTTACTTAGTTGTGAACACACTGACTCCTGTGAGTCCCACTTTTGTATTTATATCTTCTACACCTGGAACTGTGCTGGCAAGTGCTTAGTGAATGGTTGTTTGATTGATTGGTTGATTAATGACTGACTGGCTGATTTGAAGGGCTGAAAAGATTGGAGAAAAGATTAGGCTTGATTTGTGTGTTCCCAGAGCATAGACGCAGGGGCAGTGGATAGAAGTTGCAAAGAAGCCAGTTTAGGTTTGATGTCAGGAGAAAAACTTGCTCACCATCAGAGCTCTCGCAAAGCTGAAAGGTCTGCCTGGGATGAGGTGCCTTCCCCCTCCTTGGAGGTCTTTAAACAAAGGCCAGGAGACCACTTGACAGATAAGCTGTGGAGAGGATTCTTGTTTTCCTCAGAACTGGGCTATTTGATGTCTCTGATTTCTTCCAACTCTAAGATTCTGTAGAGGCCATCGCTGGTCATCTTGACTTATGTCTTGCCACTGCACTCCAATGACTGGAGGAGAGAGTGAGGTTGATGACTTTGCACCACTCTGCTTCACTTAAATCCAATTTCCTCAGAGAGTCAAGACATCACCCTCATTATGTCATTGCGAGAACAAAGGGGAGGCAATGATATTCTGTAATGAAAAGACTAAGGCA